GGGTGAAAGTGGGGTATGTGCATAGAAAGCGGGGGGTTATAGAAGTGGATTGATTATGCTTAGGAGGAGTTAAAGAAAAGTAAGAAGTTTAGAAGGGAAGGATGAAATTTAGGAAGAGGTGAGATAAAGTGAGGCATGTACGGAAGTGAGGAGCTTATAGACAGAAGGTGTTTAGTAGGGGGTATGTTTGCAGAACATTTTATGCTTATGGTGTCTATACGAAGAGAGAGCATCTGTGATATTTGCGTTGATACAAGGCAGGGCACGGTCTCTCTATGAAGCCAAGATTTGAAATGTTTTATGTCGCAATACCAAGACTCCTCATTGAGTTGCCCCGAGGAATGGGACTCTGCAAGGCCCTGAAACATTGGCATTTTGACCTAAAGTGACATTATGTGTTCATAGCAAATTGTTAAACTATATCCTTTGGAGTGTTGGTGACTTCCTACCTCATATCTCTGCTTTTGCACCGCAACATCTGTTATGGTCACTTCAAGCACCTTCAAGGATTGTGCAACCCTATACAAGATTTGTTGTTACCAAACTGACTTCAATAATCGGCCACATAACCAGTCACAAGACTCTTAGCAGGCGCTGCTATGGTAGAAATTGTACAGAGCGTTTAGTAGTTCATGCTCTTCGGGTGGCACCATGTTTTTGCTGTACCGAGCAATCAGATTGTATTTCATATTTCGGTTTAATCCAATAAATGAGGCCTGTAACAGAAGTGGCTCTTAGTCTAGCCAACCAATTACATTGAGAAATGTTAATTTACTTTATGAGGAATGAACGAAGAAGAGTGAGCTCTGACTATGATAACTGATGTCCAGTAAAAATGATTCCTAGAGATTCTCAGGGAATGTTGGAGGGTGAGATGACACAGTCTTACCTTGTACGATGAGGTTTACGTGGGAGGTTTTGGGGTGATTGTCGGTCTGAACGGAGCAGGTATACGCTCCTTCATCATAGATGTTCACACTCTGGATCTCGATGCTGTACTGGGTCTTGGTGTTGGTTAACAGAACCACGCGGGGATCTATGGACCACTTGTCATTGCTGGTATACAAGATGATGCTACGGTTCAGCCAGGCCACCCGGGTCACTCGATTGTCCACTGCGCACCTGCAGGTTCACAAGCAATCTGGTTAAATATTGGAAGTAAAAACAATTCAAACAATGTGACATCAGAAAAATATAAAAAGAGGCAGAGGTCACGTGGACACGGGGTAAGTATCTCTGTGCATAGGCTACAGGCAAAAGTTACATAGACACGGGGTTGGATGTCTATCTAAAGAATAAAGGGAGAGGCCAAATAGACATGGGAAAGACATCTCTGTCCATAGGATACTGGGAAAGGTCACATAGACATGGGGAAGACATCTCTGTCCATAGGATACATGGAGAGGTCACATAGACATGGGGAAGACATCTCTGTCCATAGGATACTGGGAAAGGTCACATAGACATGGGGAAGACATCTCTGTCCATAGGATACATGGAGAGGTCACATAGACATGGGGAAGACACCTCTGTCCATAGGATACAGGGAGAGGTCACATAGACATGGGGAAGACATCTCTGTCCATAGGATACTGGGAAAGGTCACATAGACATGGGGAAGACATCTCTGTCCATAGGATACAGGGAGAGGTCACAAAGACATGGGGAAGACATCTATGTCATTGGGGTACAGGGGAGGCCACAAAGACATGGGGAAGACATCTCTGTCTTTGGGGTACAGAGTGAGGCCACATGAACATATGGAAGGGATCTCTGTCCATAGGATACAGGGAGACGTTACATAGACATGGGGAAGACATCTCTGTCCATGAGAGACAGGGAGAGGTCACATAGACATGGGGAAGACATCTCTGTCTTTGGGGTACAGAGTGAGGCCACATGAACATATGGAAGGGATCTCTGTCCATAGGATACAGGGAGACGTTACATAGACATGGGGAAGACATCTCTGTCCATGAGAGACAGGGAGAGGTCACATAGACATGGGGAAGACATCTCTGTCTTTGGGGTACAGAGTGAGGCCACATGAACATATGGAAGGGATCTCTGTCCATAGGATACAGGGAGACGTTACATAGACATGGGGAAGACATCTCTGTCCATGAGAGACAGGGAGAGGTCACATAGACATGGGGAAGACATCTCTGTCTTTGGGGTACAGAGTGAGGCCACATGAACATATGGAAGGGATCTCTGTCCATAGGATACAGGGAGACGTTACATAGACATGGGGAAGACATCTCTGTCCATGAGAGACAGGGAGAGGTCACATAGACATGGGGAAGACATCTCTGTCTTTGGGGTACAGAGTGAGGCCACATGAACATATGGAAGGGATCTCTGTCCATAGGATACAGGGAGACGTTACATAGACATGGGGAAGACATCTCTGTCCATGAGAGACAGGGAGAGGTCACATAGACATGGGGAAGACATCTCTGTCTTTGGGGTACAGAGTGAGGCCACATGAACATATGGAAGGGATCTCTGTCCATAGGATACAGGGAGACGTTACATAGACATGGGGAAGACATCTCTGTCCATGAGAGACAGGGAGAGGTCACATAGACATGGGGAAGACATCTCTGTCTTTGGGGTACAGAGTGAGGCCACATGAACATATGGAAGGGATCTCTGTCCATAGGATACAGGGAGACGTTACATAGACATGGGGAAGACATCTCTGTCCATGAGAGACAGGGAGAGGTCACATAGACATGGGGAAGACATCTCTGTCTTTGGGGTACAGAGTGAGGCCACATGAACATATGGAAGGGATCTCTGTCCATAGGATACAGGGAGACGTTACATAGACATGGGGAAGACATCTCTGTCCATGAGAGACAGGGAGAGGTCACATAGACATGGGGAAGACATATCTGTCCATAGGATACTGGGAAAGGCCACATAGACATGGGGAAGACACCTCTGTCCTTGGGGTACAGAGTGAGGCCACATGAACATATGGAAGGGATCTCTGTCCATAGGATACAGGGAGACGTTACATAGACACAGGGGAAGGATCTCTGTCCGCAGGATATAGGGAGAGGTCATATGGTCACGGGGAAGGGATCTCTGTTCATAGAATACATGGAGATGTCACATGAACACGTGGCATCCATAATTGTGTATTACAAATGGCAGATTTTCTCAACTGGGGCTGCAATTGTTATCCACATGGCGTTGGGTAGAGGCCCCAGCGCATATTAGGGATTTTGTCCTGTTCTCTCAGATACAACAGAGGCTCTCCTTCTAAGATACCTCGGAGGGGGTGCTGTAGCACACCGAGAGCCTATAGGGGGGATAAAAGTAGACTACATAGCAAGGAAGGAAAACCAAAAATGGGATTCTTCAATAAGCTGTTTCAGTGAATTGCAGTTGATTCGGATTTCTCCGCCAATTTTCTTAGACTATTTTACATTTTTTCACAAACAAAAATATTCTTCCAAAGCAAATCTCATCACAGAGATCAATGCTGGGGACGTAGAACCTACAGAGCAGATGTGCGTAAAGATTGCTGCTCATTGCTTACAGACATTGGTTGGAGATCTGCTATCACAAAGCACAGTGACTCGTATCCAGAGGCCTTGAGACATGATCAGCGGACGGCCTCTTCTCACAGCCACTGTGAGGACCACTGACAACCATCATGACAAAGACATGATCGGTATTTACCCCCTTCTCACAATCATTGTGAGGTGCACGGACTATGCTGGGAGGCAAGACACAATCAGCATGCTATCGGCAGTTTAGGGATGGCCTGAAGAAGCAAAAGCAGTGAGGACTACCAGACACGAGAACCCATATCACTGTATGTGTACAGACCTCACAACGGAAAAAAAAATCAATCAATACAATTCAGCTTTCATTCTCTAGCCAGGAAAACTGATTGCTATGGGCAACAGAGGAGCCCCCAATGAAATGTCTGCGTTCCCTGGAGACACACATTCCTTTCAGAAGTGCAGTAGGAATTGTAGTTTTATAAAATTTGATTTTTGTTTTTCACCGGGGAGCCGGGCTGAGGCCCCTCCAGCTCTTCATCCAGACAATGAATTACAGGAATGGACCTGAACTGCAGCAACTCTCAGGCAGAGAGAAGGTTCTGCAGCAAAACTAATCCTCATAATAATACACAGGTCAGAAAAGAAACCGAACAAAGGAAAATGCCACAGCAAAATAATCTCCTTATAACTAATCAGTCCGTCACGGAGAGAGACAAAATGATCTCCGTCCACAGCTTAGAGCAAATCCTGAATCCAGGGACACGGAAAATGCACACAGTGTAGGGGACTACAAGTGACCTGTATCCACCAAGTATAGCCTGGGTCACACAATATAATCTGCCCCCC